TATACCTTTTCTAAGTTCTATAAGCTTCTACTTTGTGTATCTTATGCTGCTTTTCATCATTATTCCACTTTCCCCAATTTGAATCTGTGTAGCCAGCTCAGAAGCACAGTCTTCAAGGCCGTAAGTTTGTTTATTAGTTCCCCTAGCGGTCCCGACACTCGGCAGGACTCGCTTCACGCGAGCGATGTCCAAATCTTATGAATGTCAGGTTCAGCGATTTGCAAAAAATCTCCGTGCATTTGCGACAGACAAATCACGTGTTCTAGCAACACAGGCTTACGCAGTAGCACCTTATGAATGAATTGAGCGTTGTTCTTATTCTTATCAATACCAATATTCTTCTTCTGCAAAACTGACCAAATGTTTTCTAATTCTAAGCAATCACTCATAAAGCATCAGTGTACCAGGTGTCCTTACCAGAATATTGTTCTGCAGACACTGCAGACAGCTCGTTTTGCCCGAGGCTCCTTTGCTCTAATGATAACTTGGCAGTTGGGTCCTGGACAGAACCGTAGTTGCGGGTGCGACTTGACGAAATCCCGAAATGCAAACTGCTGATATCTGTCTCGTGTGCTCGGTCGACTTAACAGAGTCAATACAAAATCTTCCGGAGCCAGAACTTCACATTCTTGGGCCATACATCCGATGCCTAGTTAAATAAAATTCCAAATGCCACATGGAAATGAGTTCCTTCAAAGTTATATAAATTCAAATAAAGTCAAAGAGTCCCAAAGTGGTATAAATTAGTTTCTGAATTTAAGTAAAGGAAAGAACTATGAATCCATGTTCCAGACTACAATATTTTTTCAGATCACGACTTGGGTAATAACAGCCTTCAAACAGGATTTGATGTTGTCAGAGCAGCAAGTATGTAGATGGCTCTATCTAGGTTGTAGCGCCATGTAGTCTGGTAGGAGTTTACCGATGTTTCAGACGTACTTGCCGCTACATAGGAACATGGTGTTGCAACCCAGAAGACAGCCATCTTGATACTCATCACCATGAAAACAAGAAATATCACTGCAATACGATATCTACCTGAAAGAACTTATCATTTCTTTATGTGAATCCTTTGTTTTGTATTATGTGAAATTTATATAATAGTATGAATTGTACTTTATAATATGTACTGTATTATTATTATTATTATTATTATTATTATTATTATTATTATTATTATTATTATTATTATTCAAACAGTAAATAAGTCTACTTCTTCAAAAGTGAACTACGCTACTAGAAACCCACCAGTTAAATTAGCAATTCATATACAAGACACACAAAACAAATAATCTGCCAGAAGCATAATTAACAACAGAGAAGCAATGAGAATGTTGAATGACCACTGTAGCACGATACACACAAGAACAATGATACGAGGATATTATTATAAAGAAAATAAGGAAGCTGAGAACAGACTGCATCTCGGTGATAGACGTAGACGACAGTCAAAGAATATGCTACTTGGTACAGTTGGCAAATTAGAGGGATTATGAAATTTATTCAATATCTGTCACAACTTACAGACGTGAAATTTAATGAGGAAAATGGTGTTTGGACAAACACACATTCTTCATATTCAGGAATTAAGACGCAAACAGAACATTTCACTAAAACATTACGAGTCTACAGTGCCAAAACCCACAACAGCGTCATGACGAACACACAGTTCAGGTGGTGAGAAAAATCAAGCACCTATTACATGAAATCATAAATTGTCCATAATGGCAGCAATTAAGTTCTTATAGAGAACCCATGCTAGATGATGGCAGAATATAACATGTTAAAGCATTTACCATTCATTTCAAAGTCGTAGGACGTGCGAATCACAAGCAGCGTGTTGTAAAGTTGAGTTATGTGTAGTTCCATCATTAAGTTTGGTCTTAAAAATAGAATGTGACCTAGTTGCCACAGTACTGTTAAATAAACAATAAAAAAGGAGTAGTGAGTCTCCAAGACTTACAAGATTACTGGCACAGCACAAGCGCTACTCACCTGTAGAGATGCCCTGAGAAATTTGTACTTCAAAATGCATAGCCCAACAGTCTTT